ATGCTGCTTGGCCTGCTGTGTTCATCCAGCTCTACACCTTGTTATCTCTTTAAAATAGTTTGGTGGTTGTTTTTGACCAGTATGGCTGTGATGGGCTGAAGGGCCTTTTTCTGTGCTGCGGAGCTCTATGGCTCTACGATGTTAAACAGCAAACCAAGAAATAACAAGTTAAATTAGTTTTTGAAGAGTGAGACAGAAAGTCAAATCCAAAACATGAAGTGTGATAGACAGGAATAGAGAAGTTGAAAAGAGCAGAAAAAAGGAATTGAGTATTAAGCATTAAATACATATTTCTATTGCCAATGTTGTTACAAAAATAATTTTATTGTCCCTTTAACTCTTAGTGTTTCTTACCTCAGAAGCTCTACTTGTAACTTTCTGTACAATCTTTGGGCATTCCCTTAATTTTAATCATAAAAATTCACCTTCAGCTAAATTTAAGCTGTAAACTTTGGCATTTCCTCTCCAACCTTCCATCTTTCTTTATGCTGCTTCTGAAAGCTTACATTTTTTGCCAAGGTTTTTTGTGACCTGTCCTAATGTTGTGACTTGGTATTGAACTTTGTCTGGGAGTACCACTGTGATGTACCTTGGTGTGTTTTGCTGCATTAAAAGTGCTTTGTAAATGTGGGATGTTACTGCTGGATAAACTTCCTGACTTTCCTGTTAGCCTAAATCTTAGTACATTTTTTTTTAAATTGAGGAACCACCCTGATGAATCAGGGTTGGCGCAAAGCATTATCAATAAAATCTCGTGTGATTAACATGGTGCTTTGAATGGAATTAATTGAATCAAGACTTTAAATTACGAGCTTTGGCAGGGTAGGCCACTTGAGACTGATAATGAGCAGGGTGTTGTATATTCCTCAAGCTGAATAGGCCTCTTTGTCTCAATTGTCGCCTGCTTGGGGATTATTTCAGACCGTTTTAGAAACTGAAGCGGGAACCTAATTCTTGAGAAGGGATTGTTTACCGGTTTCTATACTCTCAGTACCAACCAACCTGCCGAGTCATTCGCTGAGATTGCTTACCTAATCCTCCTGTGTGACTCAAATGGGTGTTGAAGATCCCTTGGCACTTTTCATAAAAGAGAAGGGAGTTATCTCAGCATGCTGGCTGATGTCCAAGCCTCCACCACAAATGAGATCTGATTCTATCTCAAGGCTCTTTATGAGCACTTTACGCCCTCAAAATGGTTGTCACGTTATCAACAGCAACAACATTTCAGAAATATTCTGTTGGGTGTGAAGCAGTTTGAGATGTCTGATGCTTGAGGACAGTGCTATAATAATACAAGTCTCTTTGTCTTTAACAGCCACTGTGTTTCTAAATTGGCATATAATACATAGCGTGTATTGATAACTTGTGAGAGATATAATAATGGACATATTCCTTTGTCCCTTCTCAGATCACTAATGTCCTTTAGGGAAGGAAACTACCTTCCTTACCTGGTGTGGAGCTGGATGAACACAGCAGGCCAGGCAGCATCAAAGGTGCAGGAAAGCTGACGTTTCGGCTCTGGACCCTTCTTCAGAAATGGGGGAGTGGAAGGGGGCTCTGAAATAAGTAGAGAGAGGGGGAGGCGACGATAGAAGGTTGATAGAGAAGCAGATAGGTGGAGAGAGGATGGACAGGTCAAGGAGGTGAGTCCAGGTCGGGAGTTGGGATGAGGTTGGTCAGTGAGGAGGGAAGGACGGGTAGGTGGGAGGGAAGACGGGCAGGTCAAGGAGGCGAGGATGGGGCTAATAGGTAGGAAGTGGGGGTGGGGTTGGTTAGTGAGGTGAGAAGAATGGATAGGTGGGAGAAAAGACAGACAGGTCAAGGAGGTGGGGACGAGAGGGGCTGGTCTTGAGGTTGGGGGTGGGGAGATTTTGAAGCTTGTAAAGTCCATATTGAGACCATTGGGCTGCAGAGTTCCCAAGCGGAATATGAGGTGCTGTCCCTGCAGCCTTTGGGTGGCATCGTTGTGGCACTGGAGGAGGCCCAGGATGGACATGTCGTCTAAGGAATGGGAGGGGGAGTTGAAATGGTTCGTGACTGGGAGGTGCAGTCGTTTGTCACGAACCTAGCATAGGTTTCCACGAAGCGGTCTCCAAGCCTCCGCTTGGTTTCCCCGATGTAGAGGAGGCCACATCGGGAGCAGCGGATACAGTATACCACATTAGCAGATGTGCAGGTGAACATCTGTTTAATGTGGAAGGTTTTCTTGGGGCCTGGGATGGGAGTGAGGGGAGAGGTGTAGGGGCAGGTGTAGCACTTCCTGCGGTTGCAGGGATAAGTGCCAGTGGTGGTGGGGCTAATGGGAAGTGTGGAGCGGACGAGGGAATCGCGGAGAGAGCAGTCCCTCCGGAAGGCAGATAAGGGTGGGGAGGGAAATATATCCTTGGTAGTGGGGTCAGATTGCAGGTGGCGGAAGTGGCGGAGAATGATGCGTTGAATCAGGAGGTTGATGGGGTGGTATGTATATGGTCTGGACTCGAAATGTCAGCTTTCCTGCTCCTTTGATGCTGCCTGGCCTGCTGTGTTCATACAGCTCCACACCTTGTTATCTCAGACTCCAGCATCAGCAGTTCCTACTATCTCTGACCTTCCTTACCTGGTCTGGCTTACATGTGACTCCAGAACCACAGCAATGTGGTTAACTCTAAACTGCTAGGGATGGGCAATAAATGCTGCCTAGCCAGTGATGCCCTCATCCCGTTAATGAATAAAGAAAAAAAACATCGATACCAAGTAAGACCCTGACCCCAGACTGACACCAATCGTGTAATTGGACAACAGATGAACATATGAATTAGTAGCCAGAGTTGACCACTCAATGCCGCGAGCCTGCTCCACCATTGAGAAAGATCACGGCTGATCTGATCGTGGTCTCGATTCCTCTAGCCTACCTGGGCTCAGTGGTTAACTCTGCTGCCTCACAGTGCTGGGGAGGTGCAGGCTACATTGGTCAGCCATGGGAAATGCAGGGCCATAGGCCAGGTCTGGGTAGGATGCTGTTTGAGGGTCGGTGTGGACTCGATGGGCCGAATAGCCTGTTTCCACACTGTAGGGACTCTATGACATTCCTGATACTTTTTGACTCCCCTGTTAATTAAGCATCTATCTGCCTTAAAAACATGTAATGATTCTTCCTCCACTGGTCTGTAGGGAAGACAGTTTTAAAGATTCATGACTCTCTGATCAAAAGTTCTGCTCTTCTCCATCGTAAATGGAACATCCATCATTTTTCAACTTCTTGAGACATCCTTCCAGAATCTGCCTTGTCAAGTTCCCTTCAGGACATTATATCTTTTAATAAGATCACCTCTCATTCTTCTAAAGACCAGTAATGCCAGCTGAGCCAGTCCAGCTTTTCCTTTTAGCATAGCTCACGATCACCCTATGTGTCAGTTGAGGGAATCTTCTCGGGATTGTTTCTAAGGCCTTTCTATCCTTTTTAACACGAGGAGACCACAACTGTACCCAGTCCTCCAGATGCAGTGTCACCAATAAAACCATAGGAAGACCTCCTTAGTTTTTAAAAATGTCTGTTTATCTGTCTGTCTGCCTTTGTCTACCTGCCCTCCTACCTACATATTATTCCCCTTGCATAAATGCCAAGCTCGCGTATACCTTTCTAATCATCTGCTCAATTGACTTTATGTGATTGATGTACCAGAAAACCTAGATCCCTCTCTACCCTAGAGTTCTGCAACCTCTCTCCATTTAAATAATATGCTGCTTTCGTATTCTTCCTGCCAAATCAGAGAGATTCATGTTTTTCTACATTATATTCTAGCTGCTAAATTATCGCCCACTCACTTATCTAGATTCCTCTGAAAACTCCTCATGTCCTCTTTACAACTTACTTCCTCATTGACCTTATGAGTTACCAGGTGTCTACTGAAAAATGGAAAAATGTATAGTTCCTGTTAGGATTCATGTTAAGGATGTTGCGAGGACACTCTTGGCACTATGGTATGGGCTGGTGTAGCCCAGAGCAGAATCTGGTGGGCAGCATGCTGTAGCAGCAGAGAATAAGTTGGACTCTCTTTAAGTTATTTTTAAAAATTTTATTCTAAGTTAACGTGAATGGCACTTATGTAGGACAATGGTACACTCTTTTTTCTGTATTTTATACTGAATACACGTGACAATAAAAGGATATTCTACATTAAGTACTTTCAAAATGTATTGGAGGAAATACACATGCAGTAAGATCCCATAATCAGATTGTGATAATGATCAGATCATCCGCTTTTGTATGTGAATTGAAGGAGGTTTATTGGCCAGAATGTCATGGATAACTCCCCTGCCCTTCTTGGAAAACGTGCCCAGCGATCATTTATACCCACTTCAAAATTTTAAGGGTCACCACATCAGTTCCCATTCCCTCAGTGGTGCACTGGACTGTCAATCTTCATTTCTGTGCTCAACCAGGTGGTAAATAAATAAGTTTTGTTGGTGTGTTATCATTGGTGCTGATACCTGCTGCACGAAATAATGGAGAAATAATTGAATTGAACTGTAATTACACTCAAACAAAATGTAATTTATCTTCCAACAGAGTCCGCGGAGATCTGTGATCCAACAGTGGCTGGATTTGGAGACCACAGTCGGTGTTGTTTCCAAGGAATTTCCATTGTCTCCGAACTCACTACTTGGAAACTGGTATATACAGGTCAAATCCAATGTGAGTATTATTAATCATACTGCATAGCTTAGCAAAACTCACTGCTGAGAAAGGCAGTAAACCACATCATGTTGTTTATACAACAGAGAATCAGGCCATTTGACCTATCTGCTGCATACTAGAATTTATGCATGTTTCACACAAACCTCCTTTCACACCTCGTTATCTCTTTTTATCAGTACATGATGTTGTTGGGTCAAAATCCTGGAACTCCCTTCCTAACAACATTATGGGTGTTCCTTCATTCACAGGATATGGGCATCATTGGCTGGGCTAGCATTTATTGTCCATTCCTAATTGCCCAGAGGGCAGTTAAGAATTAACCACATTGTTGTGGCACAAACAGAAATTGCTGGAGAAACCTCAGCAGGTCTGGCAGCATCTGTGGAGAGAAAGTAGAATTAATGTTTTGGGTCCAGAGACCCTTCATCGCAACATTGCCGTAGGTCTGGAGTCACATGTAGGCCAGGCCAGGTAAGGACTGCAGATTTGCTTCCCTAGTGGTGCTTAGTGAGTTAGATTATTCGCACAATGATCATTTCATGGTTATTAGGCTTTCAATTTTTTTTATTGTTGAATTCCAATTCCACCATCTGTAATGCAGGAGTTGAGCGCCGGCTCCCAGAACATTAGTTGGGTCTCTGGATTAATAGCCCAGCAATAATACCACTCGGCCATCCCCTCCCCTAGTTGTCAGAGGTTCGGTAAGGCAGCTCACCATCACCTTCTCCAGGGTGATTAGGGAATGGGCGACAAGTGCTATGAATAAATAAAAAGAATCCTTTTATTCCTTTATCTCTCATGTAATTAACCAGCTTTCCTTTAAAATATATAACATTTGCCTCAACCACATTGTTTTGTATCATGTTTCCCATTCTTACCACTCTCTGCGTAGTGGTTTTTCCTGAATCTCCATTATCTTATATTTCCAGCCTCTAGTCTTAGTCATTATGGAAATATCTTTTCTCCATCAACGCATAACCTTGAAGCCTTCTCCCATCTCAGGTTTCTTTTTTCTAGAAAGAAAAGCCTCTGTCTGTCCAATCTTTCCCAATTGACCTAATATCTCAATTCTGCTGTTATCCTTGTAACTTATTTCTGCCTGCATCTTCTACCTTGCCTCTTCAATTTCTCTATATGGAGAGCAGGACTGTGCAGAATGAACAGGCTGCTATGCAGTTGGTTATTGTGACTTGACGTTGAACATCTAATTTTACATCCATGAGGTGGGATCATTAGAAAGAGGAAATAAGGAGCAGGAATAGGCTATTTATCCCATCGTATCTGCTCTGTGATTCAAACTCATTATCACGGGTCATCTCCCACCATACCATTTCTCCGCACTATCCCTGTTCCCACAGTGTCCCTAGTATCCAGAAATTTAACAATGTCTGCCTTGAACATAGTCATTGCCTAAGCCACATTCCTCTGGGATAAAGAATTCCAGATATGCACCACCCTGCTAGTGAAGAAGTTCCTCCTCATCTCAGTCTTAACTGGCTTGCCCCTTATACTGAGGTCAAGGTAGTCACCATAGTCTTGCTAGATCATCGGACTGTCTTCTCATTACAGAGAGATGACTAAGGATCACCATCCCTCAGGCAAAAAGGGGATATTGAGAAGGAGAGTCCTTCATGGTAATCTCAGACAGTGCGGGAATGTTAACCAACTTTTATAGATGCACCATAGAAAGCATTCTTTCCTGATGCATCATGGCTTGGTATGGCAACTGCTCTGCCCAGGACTATAGGAAACTGCAGAGAGTTATAAGTACAACCCAATCCATCACGTAAGCCAACCTTCCATCCATTGTCTCCATCTATACTTCTAGCTGCTTTGGGAAGGCAGTCAACATCATCAAAGATCCCTCCCACCCCGGTTATAATCCCTTCCAACTTCTTCCATCAGACAGAAGATACAAAAGCTTAAACCCATGCACTGACGGATTCAAGAACAGCTTCTTCCCTGCTGTTACTAGACTTCTGAATGGACCTTTCAAATTTCAAATTTCATGTTGACCTTTGTGCACCTTCTCTTCAGCTGTAGCATTGTATCCCTCACTCAACGAATGCTCTTTGTATGGTATGACCTGCCTGAACTGCCTACAAAATAAAACTTTTCACTGTACCTAGATACATGTGACAATAATAAATCAAATAAATCAAATAAATCACAAACCAACCATCCAGCCAACTGAGCCAACCAAGCCCCATCAATGATCCCCATTACCTTATACTGAGACTGTGCCCTATATGCAGACTCATCAATAAATGGACACATCCACTCTGTTGTTGTAAAGGTTCATAATGCCTGATATTAATATTCTTTGTGAACTTGGGTTCCAAAGCAAGGGAAGAATAGATTTTATGTTTTTAGTTGTTTGAAGAACAGACCATTTTTTAAAAGGGGGTCAGAAAGTTATTGCGATTATGATTTCCAAGCTTTTACAAGAAATCATGTGTGTTCAGCTGAATTACAACCAAGCCACATGGGGAGATAATTGCCAAAGTATTTGCTGACTCGAGTGTTACGACAACGAGGGACAAAGAGAAAGAGAAAGAGAAAGAGAAAGAGAGAGAGTAGTCAGAAACTGATTAGTGCAGGGGGAAAGGTCCATGACAGCAGAATGGTTGTTATGAGTAGTTTCCAACTTGTTAGAGTCTTGTAGTACTTAATAGTCAGTGAGAAGAAAACTCTAAAAGTAGAAGGCTGTGGTAGCAGAGAGGGAGATGTCCTATAAGGCCATTAAGGAAATGAGGTCAGTAACCCATGTTAAGCAATAAATGAGCTGAGTTAGCTGCTTGCTTTAAAAGTTTCAAGGAGTGACATTAACTGAAGAAAATACTATTGAGTGAATGTACAGATATTTACCAAAAGGCAATCAATTACCGCTGAGCAAAATTTTTAATATGGAAATAACAATGAGACTTCAGGTTTGAGTATCTGTAAAGGTATTGCTGGGATAAAAGAGATGATTGTTTTTTTCTGATGCTTGTAATGAAACCTTTCAAATTTTTCTTATAGGTCATGTTTCTATTTTGTTATAAAGGTTCATGTAACTTTACTGACCGACCTGCACAATTAAGAAAAGAAAAACAAAATTTAAAGTCGATTAAGCCAGATTTCAAACCGGAATCTGGCTTATCCTTATTACCAGCAGCTAAGATCATAATACCACATCTACCCTGTTAGCCCTTGTAAGAATTGTGTAAGTTTCAATGGGATCACATCTCAGTCTTTGAAGTTCTGGAGAGTACAAACCCAGAGTCGCCAATATTTCTTTATATTACAAACCCTTTGTCCCAGGGATTGATCTGGTGCACTCCCTGAATTACAAATACATCTTTCATTAGATGAAGAGACGAAAACTGTATTTAGTACTGTTAGAACAGTCTCACCAAAGCTCTCTACAATTGCTGCAAGACATCTTTACTTATGTACTTAAATCCCTTTGCAATGAAGTCCAACATACTATTTGCCTTCCCACTTGCTTTCCTTCATCTGCTAACGATTAATGTCTCCTAATGATGGGGTCCCTGTGTCTGCTGTCTTTAACATGAATGATCACCATCTTTGCTGCCTGCGCTCCTCTCATGTCTAGCTGACACCAAAAATACACTCTCGCTGAGCTGATTCTCCCTCATATACCAACACTTTCTCACAGCCAGTTAGGAATCAGCGTCATAGAATCGTTTGGACAGTGGGAGGAAACCAGAGCACCCAGAGGAAACCTACACAGACACAGGGAAACATGCAAACTCCACACAGATAGTTATCCGAGGGTGGGGCTGAACCCAGGTCCCTGGCGCTGTGAGGCAGCAGTGCTAATCATTGAGTCACTGTGCAGCCCCAGGCCGGTAATGCTCACATCCTGAGAAAGCAGTTCAGAATGGCAGTTTCAGATCTCTAACATCCACAGTGAGAAAACACCCATTGGCAAAAGCTCGCAAACATTAGATGCTACCGTTAAACCTCCCAGCTCAAACAGAGTCACACTGCCATTATGCCTCATTTCTAATACTTTTAAATGCTGGCAAACCAAGGTGTATATAAAATAGGAACAGGAACAGAAATTGCTGGAAAAGCTCAGCAGGCCTGGCAGCATCTGTGAAGAAAAAAAAATCAGAGTTAACGTTTCGGGTCCGGTGACCCTTCCTCAGAACTGCAGTCCACCTCCAAGTCACTCACCATCCTGACTTGGAAATATATCACTATTCCTTCGGTGTCACTGAGTCAAAATCTTGGAACTCCCTCCCTAAAGGCATTGTGGGGACCCCTACACCAAATGGTTCTGAGGAAGGGTCATCGGATCTGAAACATTACCTCTGATTTTTTCCTTCACAGATGCTGCCAGATCAGCTGAGCTTTTCCATCAACTTCTGTCTTTGCTCCTGATTTACAGCATCTGCAGTTCTTTCTGTTTTTGTTTATAAAATATAAAACTTTAAAATGGATAATTTTCAAACTTTTAACTGTCCTCAGGGCAATCTCCACATGTCTCTAACAATCCTGGAGGGCTGGCAACTGTGGATAAATATTGCTCAACTTTGGGTAAAATATTGTTCCGTAAATGAGTGACAGGCAAGGGGGTAATGGTTGTGCAATCTTAAGTTTCTTCTGAAAAGTCTCATTATGGATATTCTCGTGTTGTCATTGTGTTACAGGGTGTTCAAAAGGAAAAGACTTTCACTGTTGCTGAGTACAGTAAGTAACTTGTGGTCTTTTTGGATACAGGACAGAAATAGTTTGGTTGAGTAGGTCTTTGCTAATGTTGGTGCTTCAGGATCACTTGCCACTCTAACTTATCAGAATCCATGAACTGAGGATGAGCAGATACATGGAAACACCACCCCCTGCACATCACTCACCATCCTGACTTGGAAATATATCACTATTTCTTTGGTGTTGCTGGGTCAAAATCCTGGAAATTCCACCCTAAAGGCATTGTGGGGGTCCCTACACCAAATCGACTGCAGGATTTCAAGAAGGCAGTTCACCACTGTCTTCTCAATGCAAATTAGTCATGGTTGGGAGACAACTGATGGCCCAGCCAATGAATGTATGAGCTCAGAGTCGAAGTAGGCCATTTGGCCCCTCAAGCCTGCTCCACCACTGGAGAAGATCGTGGCTGATCTGTTTTTGCTCTCCACCCTCGATAACCTTTGATTCTCTTGCCTAAAGTGAATGTCTTTAACTCTGCCTTGAAAGAATTCAGTTACCTGAAACATCAAATTTCTGAGCCAATTAAGTTCAATAAGTTGTTGACTGATTTCCAATTTCAGTGTTGCCTCGCTTTGAAGTTTTAATCAACACATCATCTGTCTATCTTCCACTCGATCAAACGAACATAACCGGAACCGTCACTGGACAGTGAGTTATTCTGAACATGAAACTTTACACAATAATTACAGTATAGTCATGGAATAGTAATTGGTGGGGGTGGG